TAATGGACGAAATAAATTTCATTTAAAGATAAAAGATAGTTTTGATTAAAAAAAAATAATTTGAAAAGCATTAATCATAATAAATTAAATATTAATTAAAAAAATCTGTATAATATGTATATATCATATAGACAAGATTCTGCATTTAGGGATGCAGTCTGCTAAGATTTCATATTCAATTTTGCCATATATTAATACGCTAAGCAATATTTTCCTATTGTGAATTAACTCTATGATTGAGATATTAGATTTTAAGATTACACTAAATACAAATAATGTATCAAATTTTTACTTTAGTATACAAAAGGCGCTTTTAATTTAAAAATTTTAAACTTTAAAGCCACAACTACTATAACTTCAACTATTAAGATTTAGTTTTAACGAAACTATATCAACTAGTAAGAACATAATGGAAAACGTTTTCAGTGTATTAAAATTTTTCAAGTTCCTCTCTCAAATCATAGCGCCTGGGAATTCAGAATAGTATGATTTTATATATATATAATATATATAAATTTATATTTAAAATATTTAATATATTTAATATTTATATACAATATAAATATTAAATATATATGTTCTTATTATTAATTTATTACTGAGAATTCATGATGAATCAGTCAAAATTTAGAAGTAGAGTGCTTTTAACGCTGAACAGAAATTGCATCCGACTTGTCACAGAGTTTTTCATTGCGGAGTAAAAAAACATCTAGATATTACATGAGACAATAGCTGTAGACTTTGTTGCGAAGAAGAGGAAACAGCAGAACAAATTCGGTGTTACTGTGATAGTCTTATCAGACTCAGACTTCTGTACTTATCCACTACCTATCCACTTATAACGGAATTAAGCAACAACTCTCCAAAGCACATAATGGAAACTATTTTATAACACGATTTAAGTGTTCCTGTTATATACTGCATAAAAATCAAACAAAATAGTTTTATATAAATGATAATAACGATCAGTTAAAATGATTTTAATTGCTCTAACTTAAAATTTGATTTTAGCTGTCTATATAGTTCCCCTTACTTCTTTTGTATTCCATGTATATATCTATGTTATTTTGAGCATCTGTTATTCGTTCAAT